TTACATACAACAGCCTCTTTTACGGGCAAGATTAAAAATTAAAAGCAACACAATACTGAGAAAACAAGAGGGGTAAACACAATAACTTTATCAAAGCTGTTGACTCACGCATACACACATACACTTACACACACAAGATAACAATGATACTCAGTACCTAGACTGCAGGAGTTGCAAAGAAAGTTAAATCAATGCAGACTCCGCGTTTGCGAGGACAGCAGACTGATCATTGACGCGGCGCATCCGCCGGGCACCACGAAGGCAGGCAACACTGGCACGCAGGAGACCAAAACCAAGACGACAACGCAGCAACGCCATCACCATTGCGTATGGCTCTCCGGATTTCTCTGCAGACAGAGCAGCAATTCGCTTGAGAAGAGCGGAAGCAGCTCGACCGGCTCCACCTGTGGCTGAGAATACGACAGGTACGAAGGAGGCTCGCTCAACTTCTTGCACCCTCTGACCATACCTGCGACGCTTCTCTCGCTCATGGCTCTGGTAGCGAGCAGCGAGAGAAGAGGAACGGTTTGAAGGAGCGAAAGGGTTAAACACCCGTACATCAAGATAAACGCGTTCAAACCGTCCTCCCCACACGCCACTCGCCGCCACATCCAGACGGGCTTGATCCTCGGTGGATGCCGTCCGGTAGCGGAAAAGCTCGCCGGTGAGGGGTTGGAGATGATATTATATTGTGGACAGCTGTTATATACAATCCTGTAGAGCCTTTGTAGTCACAGATACGGGACAGATACGGGACAGATACGGGATAGCTCCAGGCGTGACACAAACAAACAAACACACAAACAAACACCAAATTAAAGCTGTGTGGACCCTGGCTAGCGCCAGACGTTACTGAATTAACGTCTTCTGCATAGCTACGGGAATAAACAATAATAACACAAGTCGTGCTAGAGTGACGACATGTGCGTGTAGTAGGGTTGATGCGATGGGACGTTATAATTAGGTGGAACACAACACACATTGGGCAGATTGATTGGGCATCATTGACTGTGCTCAGTCTAAACAGTGAACATAATAATTATCTCCAGTGACAGACTGTAGCAGCTAGCCTCCAATAGGTAGCTGGCACTAGTCGCTACTGCTTGTTTGACAGGTGCCGCCAGAACCCCTGTTGTGTCATGCTATAGATGCACATGCCCTGTTCTGGGGCATACTGAGGTACTTTGATTTTGTTGACTGCATGTAGACAGCATCCAATAGTAGTACTCGTAGACCTTGGCTCTTTGTAGGTCAACCACCATCGCATGGATCGATCGGTGACTATGCACTTGGAGGTTGGAATAGCCCGCGCTGAACAGATCTTGCCATGGCCCAGGGAGTGAACTCGCTTACTCGACTATCCCGGTTTTAGTTAACCAGCATGAGTGGTGCAATTTGTCCATACCATGTTGCGAGCTCACAGTTGTTTGGGCAGGTTTTGAGCTGCACCACGAAACAAAGCGAAATAACGGCGTGACTGTAGAGCAAGGAAGCGGCGAGACGGCACTTCCAGGACGAGACAGGCAGTAGAGATGTGTTCACAGCACGAGCAACCTCTCAAACCCTGCCGGTACTCCACAGTTACAAGAAAATGTCGGACTGGACGACGCGCCAATGCAAACCTGCTACATCCACCCAGGCAGATAGCTGCCAAACCAGGCCAATGTCGACCCACTGCATACCGGTATGTCAATGTCAAACAGATCCTGCAGGAGAAGACTGGGATGATATTGGCGTCCAGTGTACGGACACCAGTCACATTTCCTGCGTCTTTTGCAGCATACAGGATAGGCTCATCACTGTAAAGTCCACTACTTCGTGATTTTTATTTGTAGAATACATGACAGGCGTATTCAGTGTGCCTCGCAGGACTGCGAGATGCTGCAGAAGACCAGTTTCGACCTTTCTGGACCGCCATTCACCGACGGTGGGCTACACGATGCTGGAGGAACTAGATTCCAGTGAAAACCCAAGATTCCTTTGCTCCTGGACGCTCCGACGTGTCGTGATATCTGCCAGGTGCGCAGTAACTAGTATTTTCATCGCTATAGCGAGGACGACGCCGATCGGCAAACTCTCGCTCACAGCCATCACCAGCCTCTCAAATCCATCACTTGGCATCCCCCAGAGGTATAGGAGAAAGCCAAAACAGCTCTCAACAAACAAAAGCTAAGGACGATGGAAAGAGAGCATGTCAAAAAGAAGACGAACAGTATGAAGTTCAAATGGGTTTGAACACTCGTTCCACCAACTATACCACTTTCAATAAATCGTGACGCCATTTTGTTTTAACACGCATACGGTCCATTACTACTACTCAGGGAGTCGTAAAAGCCCGGGAGAGGACACGGCACACATTCCCAGAAAACATCTTTGCCTCGCGCTGCCGGGGAACGCTGCCAGGGAACGGTGTTGCGAGGCAAGGAAATTATTATTTTCGAAAATTGTGATGTCTTCTTGAAATACTAATTGGGACATTCTCCGATTTCTCTTAGAGCACGGAGACGATTGCTCCGTCGAGTCTTCTGATCTCTATTTTCATCCTCATCTTCCAGCTGCCTCACTCATTCTCTCTCAGTTTATCGAAGTTAATTTATTCTGAGGCGATGGAAATGCAAGACAAATCCCTAATTGTACTTCACTTTTATTTGAGTTGGGGTGAACGAAATGAGATTTGTGGAAAATGACGCCACTTCCCGTGTTAGCCGCTGGTCGTATCATACAGCCCATATTCCATTGCAGGTGATGGGCCAACGTTCGTGTTGAGATCCGCTGAGTTTCCTCGTACTCGTGGAGTTGAATTTGTGGCAGAAATTGCACTGAATTGCAGTCAAATGGTTGTGAATGAAACGAGATTTGTGGAAAATGACGCCACTTCCCGTGTTAGCCGCTGGTCGTAGCATACAGCCCATATTCCATTGCAGGTGATGGGCCAACGTTCGTGTTGAGATCCGCTGAGTTTCCTCGTACTCGTGGAGTTGAATTTGTGGCAGAAATTGCACTGAATTGCAGTCAAATGGTTGTGAATGAAACGAGATTTGTGGAAAATGACGCCACTTCCCGTGTTAGCCGCTGGTCGTAGCATACAGCCCATATTCCATTGCAGGTGATGGGCCAACGTTCGTGTTGAGATCCGCTGAGTTTCCTCGTACTCGTGGAGTTGAATTTGTGGCAGAAATTGCACTGAATTGCAGTCAAATGGTTGTGAATGAAACGAGATTTGTGGAAAATGACGCCACTTCCCGTGTTAGCCGCTGGTCGTAGCATACAGCCCATATTCCATTGCAGGTGATGGGCGAACGTTCGTGTTGAGATCCGCTGAGCTTCCTCGTACTCGTGGAGTTGAATTTGCGGCAGAAATTGCACTGAATTGCAGTCAAATGGTTGTGAATGAAACGAGATTTGTGGAAAATGACGCCACTTCCCGTGTTAACCACTGGTCGTATCATACAGCCCATATTCCATTGCAGGTGATGGGCGAAAGTTCTTGTGGAGATCCGCTGAGCTTCCTCGGCGTACTCGTGGATTTATGAATTTGTGTCAGAAATTGCAGTCGAGTGGACTTCTGTGCGTGTGTTGTGAGTAAATCGCGACGGCTCCCTTCCTTCAGCATCGTCAAAACGCAACATAGAGCATTATTACGCACTCGTTCCATGATTCATGATAATGCCTGGATTCTTTTAAAAACAGTCAATGTGTGTTCCCTATCTATCTACATTGTACATGGTTGCAGGTCGTTATTTATAAATCTTGATAATTTCAACACTTTTCTACTCGTATACTGAGTACGCGGTGACTTGAGCCGTTTAGGAAACGGAAGTCTTGGCGAGTGTACAAAAGGTAAACCTATCATTTGTACTTCATAACGGAATTGTGCACAAAAATGCACACACACGTTCGCGCGCACACACACAAGCACACACACAAACACTGTACAAACACACACAAAAGTACAAGCACATGTGCACATACACACGCCTCCCCCCCCCCCCCCACACACACACACACTCAACTCCCCACCCCTGTACTGAGTCTGACAGACATACAATCATGTTTATCCTTCCTTCGCCACCAGTTTCGGATAATGGTGTCAACAACGAGTTGTAAAATATTGGTATTTTAGGACTCCCTGCCCTGAAGACAAGCACAGCGCCGTGGATCGAGCAGATCCGGCCGCGCCGGCCTAGCGTGCTTCACTTTCTGGCCGAGGCAAACATCGTCCGCGTGCGCGCATCCCGTGTCCTCTCCCGGGCTTTTACGACTCCCTGCTACTACTACTACTACTAGAACTAGTCTAGACTAGAGGTACTAATAATATCAACATGATTCAGTGTCAGGCAGGGAGTCGTAGATGGATGAGACTCCCTGGCACATGGTGTCAGGGAAGTCAGTGGAAGGACAGGCACTACTGAGGTAGATCTGCCCACTGCCCACGTGTCGATGACCTGTATCAGATATTGAGGTCACGAAGCATAGACTAGCGCGTATGTACTGACTGTACTCACAGTATGTACAGTCACAATGCATAGTCATGTACTAGTGTGTACAGCTGTAGGCTCTGTAGCCTTTATCATTAATTTTTATGATTATTATTATGAATCAGGGAGTCGTTACGACTCCCTGATATGAATGATCATGCATGTAGTCATGTACAGACAGTGATCTGGTGATAGCTATCATTATCTCCACTGTAGCTCTAGTCTCCGTATACCATGGTATTACTATTACTAATACTGTAATAGTAATACTAGTCCGCAGTGCGCATGAGGTTAGCTCATGACATGAGCCTGCATGCGCATGTATCATGCATGCGAGAGCACGAAAATCATGATGGAACTGATGTGGCTAGCTAGCTGTCGAGCGCGTAGATCTAGTACATGTACTAGAGTAGTGTGCCAGGTAGACTGTAGTATGACTCTGTAGACTGAGTGAGTGTAGTGCAGGTGCGAATGCTAGTGTAGCGGTAGCGCGTTTGGTGAGCTAGGGCTGCAAATCATGCAAATGGCGGCGGTGGATATAACAAGTGCAAGCACGAAATCTGACCGTCGTTTTCCTCACGCTTCATTTCAGTCTGCACGCTCACGTCCATCCACTGGCAGAACTGCACTGATCTATCCTGACTGGGTGGTCTCATTCCCTTCTTTCCCTCTTTGCTCTATTTAGTGTAGGCTTTCGCTGGATTTTCTCCTACTGACAGTACTGTAGTGTATCTTGTCTTTGGTGAGGTGGTGTGCCAGAAGTAGACGCAGCTCTGCACTGCTCTTCATTCGTTTCTCGTGGACAGTCGCTCGTATATCGAGCTGCAGTTTGTGTGGCTGGGGAAATACTTTTCCGACTCCGAACTGTACGTGGTGCAGTGCAAGAGGTCAGTCAGTTGCCTCGAGCCCTCTCGGGCCTGCCGAGGTTCGCAAGGTAAAGGATTGCAGAGGTCATTGCTCTGCCGAAGTCTTCAGTGTTGCATGGCTGCAGTGTCCTTTCCCGGTGCGAGGAGGTTGCTTGTTGACTCGGCCTGGCTCTTCGTGCTTGCTTTCAATTTGACCAGGTGCAGAGGGGAAGGATGTCGTATGTGAAACGAATGGCAGAGCCATTATTCAAGAAAATTCAGGAGACACATGACGGTCTAAAGCAAAAGGGGAAGGTGAGTGAGGTATCGTGTAATTAATTGTCCTGGGTGAGGCCGTGTTGGTTTGGTCGGCAGTTTATTTGACATGTTTGCAAACGTGTATCAACTGGGGAGTTTGTTTCGTCTGCGTGTGTACGGGTGTGCTTTGGCTGTGGATTTGACTTTCTGCAGACGCTGACATGGAACAGCTTTCTCAGTACTGTCCATGTTGCAGTAGAAGACTACGCGCGGAGAAAAAAAGTGAGTTTTGTGCGTGGTTGCCGAGGTTGCGGCTGTCTGGACTGGTGACCTGTGAACCCCACTCGTATGTAATGACTAGCAATAGTAGTAGCATTTGTAAAGCTTCCCTTGTGCCGGAGAAGCGTGCTGTAGTTGCCGTGCAGTGAGCGCAGTACTAGTGCCGTAGTGGGCTTGTGTGAGTGCAGGGTGTGCACTCTTCCTCTAGGCATGCATGCCTGCCGTGGCCACTAGAAAAAAACCGAGAACTCGCTCACGATGTGGCGATATGACTTCAAGTTCAAGGCGTGAGAGAATGTGATTGTCAGATTGACGCTGCAAAGGCTTGTACGTATGAATCGCGCTGCAAGTGTGGAAGTGGTTGCATTATTGCATCTCGAGCACTCTCCTATGTTCACTCACAATGGCCACTATCGGTGTCACGCAGCGTCTTTCTACCAGTGGATTGCTGCGTTCCGATAGTCGCATTTCAGTGAAAAATTACTAGTACTAGTAGAGGAAGAAGACGCCTTCCCGAGGTGGCAGGCGAAACGCACTGCTCTGCATGTGTGGACATGGCTGCAAGCGAGATTTGTTCAGTTTGCCTGACAGGTACTAAACTGCATGGCTTTGCGCGCTCAACAAACTCACTTACGTGCAGTGTACGTGCAAACTGGTAGCCTGTCGTCGTGTCGATGCAGACTGGAATTGGAAAGGCTGGTGCTACTTCTCTTCTGAGCGTTGCGCCACAGCCATAGCCTAGGTTGGACGTTGTTAGCTGTGCGAATGGCATGTGGTTGAGGGTGGGAGCTGTAGGTCATATGTCTTATGTGGTTGTCACTCAGGACGGATTTGGCTTGAGTCTCGCAGACTCTGGACTTGGCAGTATGTTCCTTGTGTGGCACGGTTAGACATAGACCATGCAGACTTTCTCCAAAGACAGTCCAGGGTGCATTCCAGTACAGTTGAGTTGGCTTATGAGCCAACTACTGAATGAGCTGACAACTCATACCCTCTTTGCTGCCATCACTTTGTGTCAGGTGTCAGAGCTTAATCCTACTTGTAAATGCATTTCAGGCACTAGGGAGCAAATGGATAATTCCGTTATTTTCGGATTAGCAACACCATTCTTGGCATGTCCTGTTCTGTGGAGGACAGGAGGCCATCGTTCATGTTAGGGCAATGCCATTATTATTCCAATTTGGACAGATTTTTTTAGGTTTGACCTACACCAGTAAGCTTGTTTCCGAAATTGTGTGTATGTATCGGGCACAGATCATGCTGGGGAGCACAGCAAGAATGAAATGAATGCTTAGGGCCTAATGAGGTGGAATCAGGCATGCCCGTATTGCTCCTGGCCCCATATACCGGGGAAGCACTGCGTTATAGTATTCACTGCCATTGCTGCTGCTGCTGTTACTGCTGCTGTTGCTGGTGTTGCCGTGCTGCTGGCCTTCATATCATCATGTTGGGTAATCTGCTGCATGTGGCGATACGGCTGCATACCTAGATGCACACACCTAAATCAGTCATGTAGATACCTAGATCAGTGCATACCTAGATGTGTTGATACCTAGATGGGAGTGATTATACTTTATTTATAGTTGTCCAGTGAGTCTTGAACTGGTTACTTGTACGTATACTTGTGTGCTGCCAAGAGTGGTACACCTGTGTAACTCTGCATCTGTGTGGCATTGGCTAGTATGGAGTATGGTGATGGCTAGCCTTTCCTGCTCTGTGAAGCTGGGTGTTACGCATCATGCAACATGATGTGCCAGCCGCCAGGTGGCATGGTCCTGCCTGCACCATACTTAGTCATTGTGCCATGCACCGTGGTCTTGCCAGCCTTTTTAGCTTTGTTTCATTCTGTTGCAGTAGAATAGGTTCATGTAGCATGTAGGAAACACACACACGGTCATTGCACTACACTTGTCTTGAGTTGTTTAGAACTAACTAATTACTTGTTACTTTATTGGACATCATGGGACTTTAGAGGTGGATCATGCTGCTTTTCCCTGGACGTGCTGAAAAGGGCAGGACGTGTGGTCAAATTAGGATGTCCAAAGTGTCCCACAAGTAGCACTACAGCAGGAACTGGAAGTGCCCTTTCTACTCTTTGCAGTCTAGTGGAGTAGTGCAGAGTTCAGGAGCATGCTAGCATACTTTTTAGTTACTTACTTAGCGAGGGTGCTGTGTCCATTGTGTCCACATGTGTACTTTTGATAGACTTTAGTATGATAAGATACACACTGATAATACTCTTGTACTGTGTACTGTATTCTATCTATTGAGTAGATAGAATACATGTAGGTCAATAGGGTGGAGTTTGAGATACAAAGTACAACTAGTAGTACTCATGCTACGTGTAAGTTAGTGTGATGTTCCAACGATGAAGTCAGAAATAAGTTTCTTTGAGGACGACGCCTGGAGCTTACTGCGCTTGTGCATGTAATTCACAATGACTATGTACGTGGGTTGTCTGATCTTTGGTTGTGAGTAGGTGACAACTAACAAGGCTGCAGAGGCCTCAGTAGGGTCTGTCACCAGTGCAGGCAATCATATAGCAGCCCTTATCATTCCTTATCATTTGGGGATAGTGTTATCAAATTATGGCGAATCTCACAAGCTAGTGGGATCCTTCAGGCTACGTGCGCTTGTCCAATCATGTGTGGTTGTGTGATCATGTGTTCCTTTACCCAATCTCCGCTGTGATTATGTGTTCCTTTACTCAATCTCCGCTGTGATTATTTACTCAATCTCCGCTGTGATTATGTGTTCCTTTACTCAATCTCCGCTGTGATTATTTACTCAATCTCCCCTGTGATTATGTGTTCCTTTACTCAATCTCCGCTGTGATTATGTGTTTATCCAGTTGCAGCCACACATACCATAGTTGGCTTGTGATAGTGATGTGCTACTACGGGGGGGGGGGGGGGGGGAAAGACACCAACGTTTCACCCCACTGTGTATAATAATTATTGTTTAGGGTACGAGGGTTTGGTTTTAATACCGCGCTTTCCTCTAACCCCTTTCATCCTCCTGTCATGTGTGTAACTAACTTATTTCCATTCTGTTTGTGTGTGTTGTCTTGTCCAGGCGGAAGGTTCAGAAATGTTCCGGTTCTATAAGGAGGCGTTCAGCTGTTTACCCATCAAGCTGGTGTTTTACGCCGCAATTCCGTTTGTTCTGTACATCCTGTTCTTCCGCTACTATGCATTCTTCCGCGAGTTCACCGGCATAGCGAGTGTGTCGCGACCCAACATCAACGTTCTGCCCTGGCTGGAGGAGATGGTGTTCCAGTGTCTGCCGCATCGTATTCTGGCTAAGTTTGCACACCCGCTACTGGACTTCATTGCTGCCATACCATACCTAGTTCACTTCCCGCTGCCGGTGCTCTTTGGCCTTTATTTACTATCCGACAAGCGACGGCGGCCGCTAATATTCCGCTTCTTCTGGTGCGCCGGATGGGTAAACCTGTCAGCACTCTGCATTCAGTTCATCTTTCCCACAGCACCGCCATGGTTCGCCGATTCCGCGGTATTTGACGACGACGACGGCAAGCTAATCAGCGTGTCGCCAAATGAGGGCGGCTTCCAGCGGCTGGATGCTCGCCTGGGCATCAGCGTATTCCATAGTATTTATAGCAAGTCTCCTGTGACGTTTGGTGCCATGCCATCGCTACACGTGGCCTGGCCCATGATCATCCTAATGAGCCGGCCGTGGGTGAATAAGAAATTTGCTGCGTTTCACGTCTGCTGGATCACGTGGGCGGCGCTCTACTCCAATCATCATTACGGCGTTGATGCTATGGCTGGCATTATGCTCGTTGTCCTGGTGTTCTTCATGGAGAAGCGTGTCTGGAGTCCGTTCCGCAGTGAGGTGGATGAGTACGCGCCGCGCCACACTGTGTATCGGACGCCCACGCGCAGCTTGAGCGAGAGCAGCGCGGGTCGCTATCACCAGCACCGCCGCACGTACAGCCAGTCAATTCTCGCTGTGTGAGTAAGGATGGTGGGTCCACATTGTTTCCCATATACTGCTCGTGCAGTTTGAGCTAATTTCAAGAGAAAATCACTGGTGAGAAAACCAGTGTACATACTTTGAACATGCAGAGAGATGGTGATGATTATGATTCTGTTTTTGTTGTTGACGGGACTTGTTGTTGTCAGTTGCTCCGCTACTGTAGAGCAGCAGCAGCAGCCATATTGTAATATCTTATTATATTATTATTGCGTCACCTGTACGGACAATCTCTTGTTGCTTGTCTGTACATGTTTAGGACGTCTTGAAATTCAAATGTTGAAGTAGTATGTGAAATTCCCTTAGAACAGTTGTTCACTTTTAAGCTCTACTTTTTTTAATTGCCAGCAGCGCTGGGCCATTCCAACCCAATGACTTGATGCAGCAAACTTCTGTGATATGGGCTCTACATACTCTCTCATCACACTACAAGATTGATTATTGGCTGCTTGAAATCGAGTTCAAGTAGAATCTTCTACAACATGTTTCGTGTGTCATCTGTCCGTGCACATTGCGTTTGTATGAAGAGCATGCGTTTGTATGAAGGGCATGAAAGAGAACCTTTGAAAAATTGAAAAATTTGTATGGAATATGAGATTTGTTTTGTGTTGGGAGTTATGTGATAAAAATTGAAAGTTCTTCTCCATGCAGCTAATATTATTCAACGGGAGCCAAATTAGAAATCCAATTATAAAATAATGAATACCAGTTTCTACCATCTGTTGCCATGGTTTTGGGTGTGTATACAGACTGGAATTACCAAGTATGACTGGCATGTTGTGCTCATTCGTTCTCCTTGAATGCTGTCAGCAAGCCGAGGGCACTCAGGTAGCTGGCACCGCCGCGGACGACACACACCCGAGCGTAGCCGAGGTGAACAAGCTTGCGAGCAAACTGGAAGAAAAGATGAGAACACGGGAAAGGAACGGTTCGAATTCATCCAGCCAGTACAAAGGAAGATCGTGTATGCATGTGCCTTTCCCGTACCAAAAGAACTCAAAATGGAAATGAGAGTTAGCTCCAATGAAGCCACAGGCAATTGTTTTCTCATTCAGTGTCAAAGTCATGGTCTGCATTCACAACTGCCTGTTTTATTTGAACGAAAACCCAAATTCATGGAAGGAATCAGGAACGACCGTTATATTTGCCGGTCATATTGGATGAGAAAAAGTCAGTCGCTTGCTGTGCTCAGCAGATGGGTTGTGACTACTCACACGTGATTGCTTGGCTGACCATCCTTGCAGCACCTGCAAAGTTATCCACTGCTACAGTCCATTCAGAAAAAGATGGACTTCTAGCTTTTGGCCATAAATGAGTCAACATTGAGTTTTTTAGAATTTTTTTCTGCAATCCCCTATGGAATCCTCTCCAATTATGTTTTTAAAGTCCATTTCCCCAAAAAGCAAGCCATAGCAAGAATAGGATTTCGGCCAGGTTTTGCCCCAAGAGCACTGAATTGGGAAAACCTATCAAAATCCAGGGCGTTTGACCCTGCCTGCAACAGTGCATTGTACGGTTCGAACCCCAGCTCAGGTACCCTTTTTGGACCCTTTTTTTCAAATTTCACAGCACTGCACTGTGTACGATAAAATCGTGAAAAATCGCCTAATACCGGAGCTCGCCAGAGCCCATCTTTTTGTGAATGGACTGACTGCAGTGCCGTATTTTCCAGTTTAAAAGTCGACTGTTTACGTCAAAAATCGAACAAAAAAGTGGGGGTCAACTACTTACAACCATGATTCGACTTGTAACTAGGAAGTTAGGAACCAACGGTATACCGGTAACTTCCAAAAACGACCTGCACCACATGCGCAAGTGCATTACGTGTACGCATTTTTTGCCAGGATTCGGACGTTTCACCTTCCGATGAGAAAGAAGTGGTTCACTAATTCGCTGCATGTGTTACTGTAAATATACAAAATTTCGGCATTACACTGTGTCATGATTTTCGACATTTCGGCAGTGATTTATTTTCGGCACGGTGGAAACACTAGTACATGTACACCACCAAAGCGGATGTGAAAATTTCATCAGCGTTTTAATTTCGGTGTCTCGGTCGGTAAAAAGCTGCCGATTGTATTTACAGCGCTTGGTAGTAGTGCTTGGTTGGGTGAAAAAAACTTAGAAAAACCCCAGAAAGAAGACCTCCGGACATGGGGGTTGACTTACAATTTTATGACCGGGGTCAACATAACCAGTAAAATATGGGGGGATTGCAAAGAAAACAGCTGTTAGTACTTGTAACACCCAAAGCTAGATTGCCTACCCGTACGACGTACAGACTCGACCACTGGGCACCTTTTTTTCTTCTTTCAAGCAGCCCATGGGCACCGGACACCCTGCAGCTAGCTGTGCAATAGAGCTCCGGGAATACATACACCATACAAATCAAGGTACACTTCTTTAAAAAGTCAGAGGTTGAAACCGGATAATCAAACATGCATACTGTATGTATGCATGACATATGCTGTAAATTGGTAACCAACAATTTTTTCCGGATGGCAAGGGGTCCAGATAAAAGAGGACCGGATAAGCGAGGTCTGACTGTATCATTATCCTGGACCAAGGGAAAGGCAACCGTGCCTGGTCCATGGGGCATGGCAAGCAGGGGCATGGCAGGCAACCGAATAACACGTGACCTCTTCCTACGATATCCTGCACACGGTGCGATACACGAAGGGAATCAATCCTATAAAGTACGAGGCCAGCGAATCCATACGAGATGCCCTTGCTCAGCATGCACAGGCAATGCGCTTGATCCAAGAAAAAGAACAGTGAGTAGAGATTACGAATCCCTGCCCACCACCTCAGTCCTGACTCCTGTACCTAGGACACCAATTCACTCATGTACCTACATGTACATGTAGGAGGGTAGAGATCACGAATACCACCTATCCTATGTACACGCTACTTGCTAATAGAGTAATAGAACTGCATCAGGGGATTCAGTGACAACCAGGTCAGAAGACTACACGACTCTACTACTACACTGAATGCACACGATTGTACTGGCCACTGGAATAGGAAATCTTGGCCTGGAGCTGGTAGACCCCTGACGCCGCACAAGTCACAGCACTGTACCCCTAGCCAAGGGAGGTACATGTACTAGGTTGATTTCATGCTGATTCCTCCAGAAGCCAGCATGCTCTACAATGACACTGTGCACATTTACATACATACATACATATACATACATGTACATGACATTTATTATTTATTTATTTTATTTATTCACAATCACGTGGCACTAGCCAATGAAATGGTGATGTGGGCGATAGCCAGCCATGGCGGTAATAGAGCTAGAGGGGAGAAAGAAAAAGAATGAAAGGGGAACTGAAAAGCAAGAGAAGCTAGGGCAGGGCTGGATATCAACTAGTATGTTGCATTCTGCAGTAGCTGTGTGAATGTATTGTAACATTGGCAGGACATACAGTACTAGTAGTCCTAGTGTAGTACGTCCTTCTGAATGCTGTACAGTATCGTCACTACATCACTACAATGATGTCATCACTACATCACTACAATGATGTCATCATTACATCACTACATCAGGCACCCAATTGGTGCTCCTAGTACTAGTAGTAGATCGAGTAACTCCCAGTACATCCTACTATACTGGCACTGCTGGACAGTATCATCAATACATCAGGCACCCAAGTAAAGAGCAGGCTGCTGAAGAACATCCAGGCCAGAAGGTCACTAAACTCTAAGAACACACGCCGAGCTGGAGGCAAAGACTCTGATTTAGGAACACCAGTACTGAAGTATGTGTTTTCATGCAACACAGCATGCATAGCGTGCCTCTACTCACTCGTGGGATGGCACAAGCACAGAATAGGAAGAGGTAGATAAGAGATATTTTAAAGAGAAGAGCAGAACATTACTGGTATAGCCTGTAGCCCCTTCTCAGGTGCCCAATGTTATTGCAGTGCAGTACATGTGCAACAGTACAGCTGCTGTATTACTACTACAAATACTAGTGTACAGCAGCTGCATCCAGTGATGATACATGTATACACTCCACACAGTGTATCCGCCGCCGGGCACTAAAATGTAGTACATGTACAGTAGACTGAACTCTGCAGTCAAATGCCTGGCATACCTGACAGCCTTTGCCAGACTTTCCAATCAGCAATCTACCCACTAGCTAGACACCAAGTACTACTAGTAGTAGTATCAGACTGCTGAGCGCTGTTGATAGGCAGTCCACTAGACAACTGGGCAAGACATAATAGCTGCATAAATAATTTGATTGATTTATCAAGGCACTCCTATCATCAGTCTTCCAACATCACAGACCGGACAGTGGGATCCTACATGCACTGTCGACTGTGTAGTGTACATGACCATTGTAATGTATCTGCAAGCTAGCTAGTGACACTCTGCACTTGAGCTGATCAACCTGGATAGTGCTCCGGGGCAAATCAACTAAATGAGTATTTTACAATCCCATTCTCTTCTACCAGTGTGCACATGTGCTACAGTTATCATACGGTATTTGATTTACTTTTTTTACTTGATTGCCAGCATTGCTGGAGTACTACTTCCAAGTAGTAGTAGTACCTCAGTCTTGCGTACCTTCATTTATTTGCTGTTGCTTTATGCCTTCTTTTCAATGGTTGCTGTTGCTAATTAGGATTGGAATAAAAACGATTCGCCCTCTACAGCTGTAGTACTGCATGACCCATACTTCGAAGTACATAAACTAAACTAAGACTTACACTATGGCTGTGCAGTAAGGTGTAGGTACAGAGGGTAGATAAACACCATTGCATCACCACCTTGTCTGCAGCTATGCTGTACATGTCATGTATAATAATATGCACACTACATCACTGGCACTGGCACATGTAGGTTTTGCCATCAGTGGATCCCATAGCATGGGTGTCCAGAGCTTCACACTCTTGGTATTCTGTTTGTAGGTGTAGTTGCATTGCACAGGTATTGCAGTGTACCCTACCCTACCTGTTACATACAACAGTCCCATGCATTGGCTGGTGAGTTGCAGGGGAGTAGTAAAATACCGGTATTTTACCACTCCTTGATTGCAGCACCAGGACACGAGGCAGTAGTAGTACAGTAAGTAGCCCATTGGCATTACTTGGTAGGAATGTTTCATTCCACTTGTCTTTCCAGCGGTCTTAGCACTTGCACTTGCACTGTACTGTACACAACAAGTGGCAGTATGTACCCTGCATGACCAGTTGCTTTCAAGTAATCCACTTGGAGCACTCTGGCATGCATGCAGGTAGACCTAGCCTAGCCAAGCACGCAGAGTTTAGTTGCGGCATACTATTATTAACTCTCTAACACTAGTAACAGCACAACAACAGGAGTACAACAGGAGTACAATGCAGCTACACGTAGACATGGTAGACATGTAGTGGGTGTAACGTGATGACAAATGGCCAGTTCCACATGATGGATCATGCAAACAGCATCATCCATCATGTTTTACACTCTGATTCCAAAGAAAGCAAACACACACACGCACGCGCGCGCACACACACACACACACACACACACACACACACACACACACACACACACACACAGATTAGCACTACACTCCCATAAAACACTATACTAGTAATCTTGTAGTACTAGTGATGTAAGCAGTGAACAGTGAAGAGGAATACTAGCAATCCTCCTATTGCCGTATACATGTCTGCTGTTATGGCCCAGCTCTGTGTCCTCCCCTTAGCTGACTGTGGCAACTCTACCTCTACAACATGTAATGGTAGGGACAACATCTTGTACAACACATGAACACAAGCTGCATGTCACAAACATACCATGATGGTAGCATCCTCTGTACACTACACTGCTGCAATGGTAACCACTACAGCATTACAACACTGCAATGGTAGTGTCTACGTCACAAACACATTATGATGGTAGCATCCACTGTTCACTGTACTGTTTACTGGTAACCACCACAGCATAACACACACACTGCACTGACAGTGTCCACAGTAGCCTGCACACGGCATTCTCAAACACTGGATACTTCCGAGAGGAGGATGGGCAACAAGACATGCTCTACCTTCCGCCTGACGCCAATCAGAGAGGAAAGGATACCTTTGCTGGTACTTGAAAGTACACACCACTCAATCAGAGCAACTAACATAATCATTCTCTGCAACACAAGAAGTACAAGCCTGTTGCTGCCTGTGTGCCGTGCATAAGTGTATTGCCATCTATTTAGATTTAGACCACAAGTGATTTTATTCATCCTCCATGTCATCAATGCTTCCTTCTGGGAAATCTGATCTGCCACATGTACACTGCAAGGAATCCATCAAGCTTACAACAAACTTGAAAGCATCTTGCACCAACCTCCTTACATGCTTGCATATCCAACTAAATGAGTGATTTTATTCATCCGCCATGTCATCAATGCTTCCTTCTGGGAAATCTGATCTGCCACACTGCAAGAAATCGATCAAGCTTACAACAAACTTGAAAGCACCTCGCACCAACCTCCTTACATTCTTGCACTAGAGGCATATCCAACCGTATAGGATGACGCTTACAGAAAGCAGAAGAACTACATGTAGTATCAGATTCTTGTCCCAGTAGTTACTTCTTCAAGGTGCACACAAGCCGCCGCCGCACTGAAACTGGAGTAACATCTACAGCCTGCCCATACCATGGATGACTACCATGCCCATACCATGGATGACTACCATGCCCATACCATGGATGACTACCATGCTAGTACAGGGAAGCCTGTGCAGTCTATCCACACAAACCAAATTAGGCCTGATACAAACACCTCAAGCAGACAACTATAGCAATAAATGGTTTCTGCTATTAATCCTAGATGAAGCAGATCCTATCATATCTCCCACCAGTGACCACCATAGACTCAGGACTTGTTGCACTTCAACTTCAAGATACAAATACTCTGCACTACAGGCGCACAGTGTTCCCAAGAGCTGAACAACATTAACATGATGGTCAGATTAATGATTAGAGACCAGAATGGACCACCTCCTGAGGACCACCTGGCCTCTAAGCCACTCAACTTCTAACTCAGTCCTGAGTCAGTGGCCACTAGCAGGACGAAAATTGATTGACCCTCCAGTATGAACCGACCAGACTGGCTAATTTTAGTTATAAACAATTGTACATACACACACACACACACACACACACACACACACACACACACACACACACACACACACACACACACACACACACACACACACACACACACACACACACACACACACACACACACACACACACACACACACACACACACACACACACACACACACACACACACACACACACACACACACACACACACACACACACACACACACACACACACACACACACACACACACACACACACACACACACACACACACACACACACACACACACACACACACACACACACACACACACACACACACACACACACAGGCACACACACAGAGTCACGCTTTCTGCCAAGTATTAAAGAATCACGCAGAGAAATTTTCCACGGAGAACTGCTGCTCACAACTGCGCCTTCCACACAACCACTGATATCTATTCCCTAATCGATTCGGCTAACATGGAGCCCATGCCGGCGGCTTCGACACTTGAGCAGGGGATTCAGAACACACTCCATGCCATGGTACCAGATAGTTCTATCTGAAGTAACATTCAGCCACATCATAGAGCTCAGTAACACCGGCCAGGTCATTATCTGATCTTCAAAAGAATGATTGCTCTAAAGGATTGCTAATCATGTCTCTGGCACCGAACCTGTAAACACTGAATGCTGGCACCTTTCAATATCTTGGCGACAGGGATATGGGGTTAATGAGCTGAGCAAAACGTGAAGAAGGATTTTCTCCCCCTAGTCCCTACACGTATCAACTGTAAAAAAGCAATGAGCAAGATGACAACGCGCTAACGGTGGTAATGGTAGTACCCCATGAGGGTATTACTGGCATCTGCTGTTGGCCTTCTCTCACTTCAAGCAACAACATAGCAGTGAAGCAGGAACATGGATACAGGGGAAAGTGATAGGGCACGGTGCTCTAGTTGCCTGGACCATGGTGGACAGGCTGTTGTGTTTCCAGCGCTTGTCAGAGCAGCGCACGCTGGACGATGTACAATGACGAAAGAGCCTCCGCTAATGGTCACTTGTGCAGCACCTTGTACCAGCAGTGCAGCAGCTCTCATTCCCGCCAGGACTTCACAAGGCCTGGTACATTGTACACTGTACACTGTACTGCAGTGTACTACAGTATACTAACAGTTAGTACTAGTACTACTGCTCAATGCCAGTACTACTAGTACTCAACGACTCAACGACTCAATGGTTGGTAGAGCTAGCTAGAGGTTCACTGGTGACTTAGGGAGTTAGGATATAATGGCTGCCCTGAACAGCAGTCAGCAGTATCACTGCTTTGAAGTAAGTAAGTTTGAATTATATCACTAGTCCATGTACCACTACCAGCCTGCGCGCCCTGCGGACCTGTACATGCGCACATGTACCATGCTGTCCATGCATGATAATACTGTACCAGGCATTGTAGTCTCAAGCCATTCACTGATTGTGACTTGCCAGTGTTTACTGGTTGTATCGGGAGTAGTAAAGTACCTACTCCAGGGTTCATAGTTCATACACAGACTGGCAGCCATAGCCTAGCTACATACAGTACTACTAATGCAGGTGGTAAAGCTTGGGAAACGTCATCGCCGACGCGTGCACGTTCACATCCTACGTCCTTTGTATGACGTTCTGTCAATATCAGCCTTGTTTTCACCGCACAAACTAAGTTACTTAGTTACTTTAGAGTTTAGTTCAACAGGCCAGCAGTCTCAGCTATTGGCTATTGAGAGTTTGTAACTGGATACTACAATCTACATACAGTCGTCCACTCTCTGCATGTTCACCTATCAACGAGCCCAAAGTAATGACGTGTGTCGGCGGCACGTGCGCACCCTGCGCCAACAACTGCTCCGCCGCAGTGTCACGTCACAGAAACTGAAAACAATGAAAACTGCTACCGCGAAACGCTTGAGCGCACGCAGAAAGTCCCGACTACACGTGTAGACACAACCTGTCAATATTGTCAAGACACAAACTCGAACAAACAAAGTTACAAACTAATTGCTTACAATCATGTTCTAAACATAATCAGTACTTCCAATGCACATAGATCGTGAGAGTGAAACGCGGCGGGATGGCAACTGAACACGACGCACACTGTGCACAGCCACAGAATCTTACCTTGATTTTTGAGGAATGAGCGATTCACTTGTAGACGAGCCGCGCGTGGAGCAGTCGAGGTTCTCCTGTGCTAATCATTCCCACAGCCCAGGAGCACTCATGAGGTGTTCGCCCTCCGGCCTGAGCGCAGCGAGATGGGCCTGTACCTCCACCGGCGGCAACGGCATAGCGCTGCATATGCATGCAGACCATCGACACCATGTACACTAGGGCAGTAGGGGCATCACGGGGGCTTGACAACTGCGAGGCTGCAGTGCGACTTGTACTCGCCGAGTAGCTGGTCAACAGTTGCGACTAGAACTACCGGTACTGGCGGTAGTAGTAGAACGACGAGGAAGAATGGTGCATGCATTTTGCACTGCCATTGCCTTGGGTTGGTGGCACAAAGTCAAAGATGGCAGCTGTCATCAGGTTGATCGACGCACTGCTGACACTACGACTAGCAGGATGCGAGTTCGAGTAGCAGGATTTATGTAGGAAGGATGGGATGATCCAAGCCAGGCCCAGGCCAGGGTCACCCACCAACTGGTCCAGTGCAGCGGTAGTGCAGATCACATATGCACAAGATTCACAAAATTGTCAAAAACCAGGCAGTCGAGTGTGTAGTGTGAACGCGCACGCACACGTGACGCAGTGAGACACAGTCGTGTCAGCGCTTCCGTCTGCTAGCCCGATCGACTAGCCAGCGCCTGCACGAGATACGAGATGGAAGAGCTGTTGGCGCAGCGGAGCAGTGCCTGAACAGTCAGTGGAGAGAGAGGAAGGCACATGTCTGGCTTCATCATCAGAGGAGGTTCGAACTCTGGGCTGCTGTTAGTGTTCCCTTCCTAGACGTCTCTTCACAAGTCAGTCATCTCCATCATGACTTGCTAGCAGCACAGTGCATGCAGTATTGTACACGGACGCGGCACGCACCTACGACCAACTGCTGGTTATTACGTCGCGATGTCGCACTGGGCAGAGCAATAGCAGCCGCCTTTCACCAACTGAACAAGCCGCCAAGATGTGCTCTCGAATTGCCGACTGCCAGACACCCTGGCCTAAGTCAGCGCTAGCGTGCAGTACAGCTACGTCGTCTTCCCCACGGGCCGCAGTACTCATGGTACTGGTAGGACGAGTCGCTCAGAGGTTTACACTAGTCTATTACATGTATATGCATAGCGTGACACACGAGTCATCATAATCAAGGCTGACTTTCAACGTAGAATCTACGCCGACTAGATCTAGACGGCATTTGTGCGCGTGTATACACACGGCACTTGCCAGGCGTCCTCGCGTGCAGAAATAGGGTTTCTCTGGGCCGGCAAATAATTCTGTACGAGAGCGGTATCGCCACTGCTGCTGCTGCCGCACTAGGAATGTGTAACGGGAGATGCACTCACTGGCATAAATTGTCAATTTCCAACATAAAACCAAATCAGTTGTGAGTTGCAGTAAACAGACGTGCACCACGAAACAGGACGCAAGTGGGGTCTGGAGAATAGTGACTTTGAGGACAAGCAGGGTCACGACGGAGACACGGAGTTGTTTGCTTACTAAGGATTACCTCAAAGCTGCGCGGAAAGGGCAGCAAGAAGAGAAAACCAGTGTAGAAAGTGAATGGTAGGTTCAGCAGCATAGCAACAGGTTTGGTTTCTGAGCTGTGAAGATGGGCACACAGCCGAGTAAACTGCAAAAGGGTGCGAAAAAGTTCGAGAAAGGGATGATGCTGTGCATCTCGGGCGGCGGTGACGAAGATTGCAACGAGCAAATGACTAGCTATCAGTTGCAGCGCTACACGCACAGTCCGTCCGAAAACAGACCGAACAGGTCACCGGCTCGCACGTTGACGCCGCGACCGTGTGACGACCTCATGCCCTCATCGCTCTCAACTTCTCCGTGCTCACTTGGCCATTCCTCACAACATCGGAGATTATCTTCGACCAAGTCAAGTTTCAGTTCAAGTTGGTTGGAGGACACAAGCTCGTCGGTGGACACTCGAAGTGAGCTGAGTCGAAGCTGCGTTTCGCCACCTTCGAGGCGAGAACAACAACTTCCTGTCGCGGACGTCACGAATTTCCGCCACATTCAGCAGCACCAGGGTCGTCTGGCTGCTGGGTCACGATCGCCATCCACTGCTAGCGTCGCCTCGACAGGCCCCACTGGCCCGCTGAAAACGACCTGGAATCGACTGGAGACGGATCTGGAATACTACGGAATGATCCTATTAGATAAGTAAGTTGATCTGAATTAGTTGCAACATCCTATCATAGATCTGATCATGATTATGCGATGGATCGGATCATCCATCCAGAATTACTGATTGTGCTAGGTTAGGTATAGACTCAAGCCGATCAAGCACACGTCTGGCCAACGAGTTACGTTGGAACGTGCATTGGTTAAAGTAAAACAATCATGTCAATCATGTCATGTTGTGTTCAACGAAGAAAAGACCATTAATATATTTTCAATTGTGACTTGCCAAATGTCACTGCAGTTTTTAAATAGCCTGGGTCTCTGGAGAAGTCACAGTAAAACATCAACAGTTTCAGGAGTCAATCAGGAGTCAATGCCTCAAGCTAAGAACGCTCACAGTTTGGCCCAAAACGCAGCCCAGACTACCACCTCCACCTCGTTATACTACTGTAATAGTGTGCTCATGTACTGATGTAAGGGCGGGGGGGGGGGGGGGGGGGGGGCAGTTCAATACTACGTGATAACCTTGCCAAGTGGCAACACTAACCCCTGCAGTGTAGTAACAAGACCTAATCAAGTATTATACATTGTAGAAGTTAAAAGTAGGCAAACAGGAGCAGTGCACAGAGGACGCTTGGCACACAAAGGTGTCACTGGGATTGTGGAAAGCAAAGCACAATCATGTCTAGCAACTACAGCAACCTGTGCAGAGTGCTGGCCAGCCAGCGCAAGACTAGAGTTTCCTGCAGAATACAGCAGTCCCAATTCTAGCAAATCCCGGCCCAGTGTTGAAGCACTCTGTACGAGCAGCAAATCCCCCAGTGTTGAAGCACTCTGTACGAGCAGCAGTCGACACAATCTCTATCACCTGTCAAGTTGACGACTTTAAAAAACGTGACATGATCCCCCAGCCACCACTCTTGTAGAAGCAACACTTGTTTCCTTTCCAAAAGCAGGCAAAGCCTGGCTCAGACGTGCAGTTTAATGTGAAACCCAGGCACGCACATGTCTCGGTCATCATGTAGCAAGCATTAGACATCCCCACTGCATTATCACAGCAGAACGTTGACAGCACTCCAGTACGGTGTTGCAGTGCCCGAGGCTATGTCAAAAAGCAAGCGAAACACCGGGCAGCAGCTTGGAGCTCGTGTACATGATTAAATACTAAATCACCATTGTCCTTACAATCGTGCGTGTCTCTCTCTCTGTTCTTTGTGTGCAACCATAGGATCATCGAACAAGAGCCACAGGCGTGTTACTTGATGACATTCGTGCGCCACACGGACATCGCCGCACTGCTGGCAGACCTGGCACAGCAGCGCATACTGGCGGTGCGCATCATGGAGACGGTGGGCCTGATGGTCGAGTGTGCCGACGACTGGAAGACGGCAGAGCCAGTGCTGAGTAGCCTGGCGCGGCGACACAACGTCAGCGCACGCGACCTGCGCTACCACATCCAGGTGCTCAACAGCAGCCTGTTCGCCATGCTCCACGTCGCCATGGGACCCGAGTGGAACGCGCACATGGCGACGGCATGGAAGGCCCTGCTGGCGCAGGTGTGCAGCACGCTGTTCAACCAGCCGGAAGGCCACCGCAGCAGTAGCTCCAGTCCGAGTCACCCGCTACGCACAGCCACCGCCTGCAGCAGCGCGTACAGCACCACAAACAATCTTGCCTGGACGTCGGTCAAGTGGAAGTCGACGGATAGCAAGGACGCTTCTCGCAAGACCAGCAGTCCACTGCCGTTCAAGAGCCTGGACGACTTGACTCGCGCGTGGCACGCCTCGTCACGCTCTGCGCGGCTGCAGTCGCTAAAACTGACACGGACGAGTAGCTCATCGCCGACCAAGGAGCAGTGCAACAGCAGTCGCAAAGCGTCAGCATCCGCCGGCCTGAGCCACACTGCACTGCCGAAATCACCACTAAAACGATCCTGGTCATCTCGATGACATCAACAATGACATCACTCTACATAGATGCGTTTTGAAGAGTTTTCTATTGTCTTGAATACCACTAGACAGCGCTATACGGAGAGCCACGATGCAATCAAATAACACACAGAGCTGTTCCTGCTATATCAACACTCCTTGTTCTGTTCAACCCTACCTTGAACCCTGAAATTCCTGTTGACAGACCCGGTCATCAAGAGAACCGACAGTTGAATACGATCACCAGTTTTACACTTTATTTAAGCCGAGTTTACAACTAACTTATCTTGAGCACTATCTCCTATTCTATTACTAAAGAGAGAATTGTACTACCAGTATAACCAGCGGCTATTGGTTGATTGGAGAAATGAATGGTGACAGCAAACCAACAACAATGTTACACGTATGTACACATTGCCAGGGAGTCTTATAAATACGACTCCTTGAGAGTGTGTTACTGCCCAGGCCATGGAGGTCTGTGAGGGCAAAATTTCACATCACGTGACCAGAACTGTGCAATGCCAGCACTGGGTACAGGTAGAACCCTGCTATGACAGTTTTAAAAAAAGGTCTCCGCACTGTGTTGCACTAGGTAACAATCATAAGGAATCGTGGAACTCTACAGAAGCGTCAGCTCTGGATGGTGAAAGTGCAGGCAGCTATGCACTCTTTAGTGCGGTTGTGTACTCTTGTTATTACCAATCCCTGCATGCTAAACAAGTAATCCTTAGCTAGCCCTGGGTTGATTGGAGTCGATCAGTGCTGTGGTGTACAATCTCTCCATCTACAAACAGTGCTGCCGGTGGAGGCAGCTCAAAAGTACCTTTCTCTGTCTACCAATGTGTGTGGGGCATTCCTCGAGTCTGAGAACAGCCACTGTATTCTCTTGTCCTAAAGAAATCGTTCTTGTTCTCTTGGTTAAAATAGAAGAAATCACATGGAAACGAGTTATGAAGCAACTATCCACGACTGTAACAAGATAACAAGCAGTCAGAAAGTGCAATAACAGGGCACAAAACTGACATGTTACTGAGACATTCAACGACCTGAGACCTAGCTCTCACACACCTCCAGTGCGCAAATGAACAGCCTTCCAGCTTGGAAGGTTCAAGGTTATGGTAGGACCAATGAGGGTTCTTGTTCTCTTGGGTTATTTTTAAGTGTGCGTCGTCATCATCATCCTATGCATTGACTGGCAGAGCAGACAGTGTGCAAGTGAAGAGCATACTGTCTAAAAATACAGCACATTTAAAGTCTATTTTCCACAGAGCACTGAGTACAGCACCCAGAAAAGGGCAATTAGACGTACAACACGACTAGCAGGAGACCCTCATCTGGCAGTAATCAGCATGGATGAGAAGGGCACCGCTGGTAAGGACGAGAATGTGCTGGCGCCTGTGCGCTGTGCGCTGGCTGTCAGCCATAGTCGTCACTTACCATCATGGGCACCAGACCAGACACACTTTTAAGTTTGGTGTTGACTGCTCGGGCAGTTCATTGGGAGCATGGCGGGAATCAATCAGTGTTTCATTTCATCCCTAATGAATCTCCCTGATAGCAGCTTGTTTCTATTGATTTCAGTTCAGACATCCAGGAATGTCTTCAGGACAGATTTGTACCGTGCCCTGGATCATGGATGACACTCACTTCTATTCACCAAGACTTACTTCTAGCTAGCCTGGCCAGGCCCAACAGCCGTAGGGTGGATAGGCACTTTCAAGTACTAGACTCTGTACTCATCAAGTCAATGCTTACTTGACACAATAGCACTCACTACGGTAACAGTTTTAGCACTTGTTTAGTAAACACAGCTACAGCTCCTCGTGCTCAAGCACTTCAAAACCACTCAGCAGCCCTCTCCAAGTATGGTGCAGCTGTACTAGCAACTATCACACTTCTGTTGCACTAGTGGTGCGTATACGCATAATAATTATAATGTGTGTACAGCTGTACTAGTGAATCAGTTTACTACAGTACTCAGTAATTATTATCTACCACTAGTGCACTACTGCCAGCAGTACTAGTAGTAACTAAGCACCTTACTTAAACCTGGGATAGCAAGGCTTATTTACTAACAAGACTAGTACAGACAGTTGTGCTCACTGAAATCAGACCTGGACTGGAGCCGTGGAGACTGGAGTGCAGAACTGATGCCCTGGCCTGGACCAGTTCCAATTACATCACCGTACTGTTCAAATGGTCGCAAGACAGGGGCTCTGCCAACCTAACCATGGCCGGGGGGGGGGGGGGGTTGTAGTAAGGGGCACTGTTTCCCAACGCAGTGCACGCTGCACCCTCCGCCTCCTAACATGCTGTCAGCCAACGTTTGCAACATCACTGTGTATGTACTTGTACATGTGTACGTCCAGCCGCATTCTTGCCACTTCCAGGGCGTCAAGGGCCGTGCAAGTTAGTGGAGGCCTGAGGGCGCCAAATTTGTACTTTGGGTGGGATTTCACCCAGCACAACTGTACCCACATTGTAGGTACATTACAGACACTAGCCTGTCAGTACAGTACACGTACCATAGTACCAGTAGACCGCCGGCCTGTGTAGTTCATGTACTAGTACTAGTATACAGTAAGACCACTCTGATAAGGCGACCACCTGTCCAAGAGGACCACCTGTCCAAGAGGACCACTACAATCAGGACCGAGGGGGATGTCATTTCCAGGGAAGTGACCCTGGATAAGGAGACCACCTATACACGGGTACCACATTTGTAGGTCCCTTGAGCCGTTGGCTTAGACAGGTTTTACTGTATGTAGTCAAGAGTGCAAGATGTGACAGTGACACTGACCCCGCTGCCACTGACCCCGCTGCCACTGACCCCGCTGCCACTGGCCCAGTTAATAGTACAGTCAGACCTCGCATAACCGCACACATCCGTTTTCCACAAAAAAAATATCCGGATAGGCGAGGGAACCGGATAATCGACCACACATACTGTATGTATGCATGGCATATGCTGTAAATCGGTAACCAGCGATTTTCTTCCGGATGGCGAGGGATCCGGATAAAAGAGGACCGGATAAGCGAGGTGTGACTGTAGCCTACATGTACATGATTGTACTGCTAGTCTAGACCCATGCCTGGTTCGTAGCGATGAATGTATGATTTACGTAATGCATCAAGCAGAGGAGGTGCAATACAAGTCACATAATAGTATGTGTGCCGCTCAAAGTGAGTTCTTCTACATGTGGGGTGTCTGTACCAGCTAGTTCCCATGTGAAGCGGATTTGACGTCATTGCATATCCTCCATAGGAACGAGTGCGAGGTGCAGTCAATCATTTATTTCAGGCTTGGCACCGGCATTCCACACATACACATAGAGTGCAGAGAAGCACTGCTAGTCTCTTCCTTGCACCTCTTTGGTCTGGACTTGGACTTGTGAGGTCGTCGAGAAATCTACGTTTGAGGCTTTGAGAGCAGATTTGATTTCTTCACTATAATTTTAAGATGAATTCTGACCAGTACTGTCTTTATGATCGACACTGCTCTCAAATCTAGGCTGCGCATTATACTCCGGATATACCTTGGTCAAAAAAAGGGGGATGCGATTATACTAAGGTGAGCGCGTTATACTCCGGCAAAGACGGTACTCTATAATCGGACCCGAACCACCAGCCCACATTACATTGTACTTACGTCAGGTCCGGATACACCTCGGTTGGCCACAACAATGACCGTGCTTTCCTTGTTCGAGCTCAGCTTCTTCTCCACGGACGGCAGCATGATCTGACCGTCTGCATTGAACGCCGTAGCCGCAGGTACATGCATAGATCGCGGTATGTGACCTTGCATGTATCTGCACAAGAGAAGCCTCGAGTCAAGGAGAGCAACACGGATGCTTTCATTGTCGCTAGCAAAGTCGGCACGGCACGTAACCATTATGACGACAACTGTAAATCATAGGCCATGATCACATTCTACATTCCACAATACACATACACATGCATATACATGTACATGTACATGTACATACACATACGATAGTGCACGTCATGTACACACGCACGCACGCACGCACACACACACACTCCCAAGTACACATACATGCACACCCGTACACCCGTACGCACTCACACTCACACACAAACACATTCCCACGACGTGACGTACACTCACACGCACGCACAAAACCCCACAAACGAACGAACAAACACACACACACACACACACACACACACACACACACACACACACACACACACACACACACACACTGACCGCTGCAGGTGACCATAACGACACACTTTCAAAAAAATGAGGATACTCGTCGCGAGTGCGTATGTCCAGCACAATTGGCGCGGCGGCAGTCTTCTGCTGAGCCCTACGGCGTGTTCTCGCAGCCTGATGGCACAATTCAGCAACCTCTGTCGGGCTGATGCATGGTGCTATCTCGGTGCGCAGTTCCGCCAGCGATAGAATCTCCGGCTCCTGTGAGGACAAGATACGGCATGCAAAATAAATACTGGTATTAAAGTAATTGAGCTGTTGTACAGTAAATACTGGATATAACGTGCCCCTTTGATTTTCGATAATTTATCACTATATCCGGTGCATCACTATAGCCGATTTGCATGTATGACCACACATTGCACATGACTGGGCATGAAATGATGCGTACACGCTGGAAAAAGTTTGAAATGCAGCCACGTGTACATGTGGCTGCTTACAGCATGCAGGGAAGAATTTTCTCTCACTCATATCTGCTGCCAGGTGCATCCAGGCAACACTGGATCAGTTTTGGAAGAAGTGAACTTTATTGGAAGAACACTTGTTTTTGTGATCATCACTCTTGATCATTATACGCGATGTTTTCCTGTACATTTGATATGGTTTGCTTCCTGAAGCCCATCACAATAAGCGATATATTGGTATAGCCGATAATATTGTGTATAGTGATATTTTAGCTGCATTTTTTCTGATTTGATTTTGATTTTGACGAGTTCTATCATTATAGCCGGTATATCGTTACACCCGTTCACTTTATAAACGATATTCACTGTACATCCATCATATGACCATACGGGGTCAGCCATGTTGGTTCTCACACCAGTCACTGCAGTCAGTCCAAGTATCAATGGGTCACATGATGTCAGCCATGTTGGTTTTTCTCACACCAGTCAGTCCAAGGATCAATGGGTCACATGATGTCGGCCATGTTGCTTCCAGTATGCGCACGCCATGTGTGTATAAGCGCAGCGGGCAGTGCACCGAGTACAAAAACCCTGGAACCCCCCAGTCAGACTGGCCTGGGAACGAACACACGAGGGAGAGCACCCGTGACGTGGTATTTGCCTCAGAACCTGCTAACCTTCTCTAAAAACAGAATTACAGTGTCTGCTCCAGAGCCGGGTGAGCCAGGTAATCGACCCGGTTGGGCGGCACTTGGACCCGGTTGAAAATATAGTACCGGGTCACCTGTGACCCGGTTGGTACTTTACACGTTCGAACTTTGAAAGGACTGACTACATGGCTTGTATGTGTGACAGATCATGCAGAGGCGCGCGTCGAAGTGAAAGTAGTCAGTAGAGAGGTTTCGTTTCACGTTGTTCTGCACTACACCGTGAAATTTCACGTCGGTGTGGCAAATTTTGGCGTCGAAACTCCCGTTTATGACGTGAGCTGAGGTCAACTCACGTTCGAGGTGAACGCGAGTTTTTGCAAATTTAGCCTTGCTATCAGGTTGGGATTATTGACTCGATTCTGTCGATTTTGCCTAAACTAGCTATAAATAATATTTGTGCGACTTTGGCCTTTTGGCGGGAATCCCGACTGCATGCGTCGCGATGGAACATGCCGGAGATCGAAAGGAAAGGAAAGTCACTTGGCTTGGCCTCTCTGCTTTCTGATACAGGAGGAAGTAATTAGTTTACTAGAAGTTGGCGAATTGCACGTCTTAGTTTCAGCGTAGCTCATTCCATCGAGATGTCTGCCAGTGTGAGTCCAGTATCTTCTGCCTCAAATCAGGAGTCCCCGGGAGCTGCTTCAAGTTTAAGTGGTTTTTGTTTGAAGTTTTATTTTACATCGCAAACCAAACGGGCATTGATGCCCAATATTATGATGGCGATAGAATAAAAAGTGTGGCTCGATAAAGCTTCACTTGCGAAAATGAGAAAACAGTCAAAAGGAAGTACTTGTACCGGTAATTACAAGTCAAGTTCGAACGAAGTAACAATCAGGGAGAAATAGGAAGATGAGGACCTATGCC